GTCAACCTAAAACTCCTTTGTTCATCTACGAAGAAGCCAGCCGATGACTTAAGGCAGCCAAATATGCGCTTTATGTATTTCCACCCTTAGATCTATTAAAGTCCGTGGTTTAAGCAAGGCAAACAAAACAGGTAGACTAAATTACTCTATCTAATATGGCAACCCTTCTTTAAAGTACTCGATCTTGTAATCATGGTACAATAAGTGGGTAGAACAGCGTCGTAGAACCACAGAAATACACAACTGAGGCTATGTCCGCTTCCTGTCAGAATTTCTTTGGTATCATCCTCATTTTTAAATAGTGTTAAATATCCAAAGTACACAAATTTTCGATCCCATAGCAAAACTGGTAAACATCTTTAAAGCTCGCCCCACAATATGTGTTCCGTATCTTAGAAACGCAAATTTTATTTATCTTTTCTTGGGCTTTAACTTATAAATATAGAGTTTTTAAACCCTTCATATTGAGGAAACTTTCTTGGTGCTACCAAGAAAGAAACCGTTTCATTTTCATGAAACGTGATTTTAACATAAAAAATGCATAAATCTACTATCTTCTTTATCTTACAGATGGAAAAGATAAAAACCTATTCCTATTCCTCAAAACTTGCCAAGCCAATGAAGCTATGGCTCAAATATTAGATATATTCCGTATTTTTCCCAAGGAAAATGAAATCTACCACAAAATTTTACCACGCTTCAAACAACTCTATGCCGATGCTGGGAAAACAGTTGAATTTAGTCCGAAGGCGTATAAATTTGATGTAGACGTAGATAAGGACTATGTCCTGCTGGAGGACTTATCCACGAAGAACTATAAAAACGCCAATCGTATTGTCGGTCTTGATATGGACCATATGCATGCCGTCCTTAAGAAAATGGCTGAATATCATGCCGTCTCTGCGTGTTATGTAGAAAAATATGGGTCATATGGTGAAGATTTTAACGTTGGCATGTTTAGTGAGAAGAATCGTGGTATTTTGAACGAATTTAATAAATCAACTGGATTTCTCACCCAACTAAAGAAGTGGCCAAACTGTTCGGCTTACTATGAGAAATTAGCCAACAGCGATGATTATTTGGTTAGTCGTTTGCTAGAGGATCAACGTGTTAATACGGGAGAATTTAATGTCCTCAATCACGGAGATTGTTGGTCCAATAACATCATGTTCCAGTATGATGCCTTTGGAAAAATCAAAGATATGCTGTTTGTCGACTTTGCCTTGGGCAAATATGGTTCACCGGCAAATGATTTATACTATTTCATATTGTCCTCATGTTCGGCTGATATAAAATTGACGAAATTCGATTATTTCATACGCTTCTATTATGGACATTTGGTGGAAAACCTTAAATTGTTGCAGTACGCTCGCCCGCTTCCCAAATTAATAAACATTCACGGAGCATTACTGAAAAATGGATTGGCTGGTAAGAAGATGTGATCTACACGCACACATTAATATAGATAAGCTCGAATAAATCAAATACAATTATCATTATCAATTATTAATTTCTACGAATTTCTCTATCTTTAGAATTTATTATTTGATTATTTTGCTTTTGTTTTCTATTTTTTTTAGCTTATATGATTGCATCCAAAGTTTTGCCAGCAGTCATTTTGGACAAATCAGAAGAATCAAATTTGGAAAACTATACAAATCATAAATCGAAAATGGTATATTCCATGTATAGCAATCCAAAATATGTTAAGCAAATGTTAAATATTCTACCTTGGCTGGACAATCGTGGTCTTTTGGATTGGAAGTGAAACTAGAAATTGTAAAAATAAATGTATTCCAATGAAATATACAACAAATTTGATCAAATCTAAAATAAATCAGTTCCAATTCCAATTGGAAATCATTCTCAGCTACAATTCAGCTTTCTAAGAAATATTTAATGCCATCTAGTGGCAAATAGTTGCAAACTGAGGAAACTTCGCAATAAGGTGTTACTTTAATGGTGGCGTGTACAAATGTGGCATATTACGACATCTGTTATCAGTTAGAAAGTTTTTTTTAATATAAAGGCCAGTTTCTGTTGTCGATATGAATGCGAATAAAAATTAACTCTATTTCAAACATTTTTCATGTTTTATTTTTTGGGAGTTAAATCAAAAGTATAAGAGACAATGTAGCATCATTTTAAATGAGTCATGAACTTATTATGGATGTTTTTTATAATAGTAAAAAATTTTACATTCTTGTAGTTGTGGAAAAGAGCATACGTTTTGTACATCTGCTGATGTAATGCTGCCATTTGTATTGTAACATATTAAAATTTAAAAAATATTTTAAAAATGCAGTATGTGTTTGTAAAGCAATAATTTTTGAAAAAGTTATTTTATAAAATATTTTTGCATAAAAATTTAAAAGCTGTTCTGCCTCCATGCATGGATCCATCTATTCATGGTAGAACTAAGAAGGTAAAGCCATGCAATCATGTTTTTTCAATTTTTTCAAAATTATTCATTTTACATCTTATTGTCAAAATATTTATTCATGAATATATTGTATATACACAGATTAGAGATGGGAACCATGTATGGCACAATTACAGAAGGTAGAACAAAGCTACCCCCATTAATACATTTTTTTCTTTGGGTGCTCTTATTCTGTCATGTACACATTTGGTGCATGTATTGTTTTGAATAAAAAATAAAATAATTTGAAATTATTTCAAATTCAGGTTCCCATCTCTGATTTGTGTATGGGCTTACAAATATACATTTTGACAATGAGATGTTGTCAAATGAATAATTTTGAAAAAATTGTGAACATATGATTGTATAACTTTACCTTCTTAATTCTACCATTGAAAATATTTTGTTTTTATTTTTCAAAACAATGAACACCTACAAAAACACCAGCTAGTAGCTCTGCCTTACCTTTTTATTGTACCATAGAATAAACAATACAATTCATGGTACAATAATAAGATGCGGTACCAGCTGATTACATTTATTTTTCAGATAGGCAATTTTGAAAAATTGCAAACATATGATTGCGTGACTTTACCTTCTTAATTCTACCATGGGCAGAATGTTAAAATTGTTATTGTTATGATATCGAAAGAAATTGCAAAAATATAAGATTCTGGCGTGTTATGGAACAGATCACTTGTTATTATTGCGGCATGGTGTGAATCAAAAAAAGTAAATTATTCTATGTTGATTTATAAAATACGAACCCGAAACATCAACGCAAAGAGAGATAATCATTTTTTGTTTCAATTCAAAGTTTCATATGACCGCGCCGAATTTCGTTATAAGAGCGAACAATGTTGTTAAAATGCTAATGAGAACATGGCAAAACAAATGAACAAGAACAGTTTCAAGTTATCAAAGAGTCGATAACGATGGCAACGTTTATTCGGCCAGGCAAAATCGATTTTGTCATTAGGGCAAAAGTCGACTTATATACCCCTAAGTCGTGAAGTTCGCATAAGCGCATAGTGATGTGAAAAATCTTAATTTCTGCAAATAAGAATATAAACTGTGTTAAAATCAATTAAAAGAACAAAAATTAAAAGTAAATAAAAACGCATTGTTATTTTTATAACATATAAATGCAGATTGTGTGTCAAAACCAAGAAAAGAGTTTGACTTATCAAAAAATAAATTTATAGAAGAAGAAGCAATTCAGCATAGAAGCCAAATTCCTTTCAATTTTTTTGCTATATAGACGCGGAACTTTACAAAAAAAACAAGGTGAGTACAGGCGACAAGGAAAATACATTCTTGCAATGGAGAAACAAAAAGTTTCGAGTTATGCTAATTGACATATTTGCTATTACAACTAAAACATCGATAGTTAATAGAGTGTGCAATTATTCTAATACGCGGGGGAGGGGGTGGCAGAAATGTGCAAAAAAATATTTGTGGTTTAGCGAGTAGCGTTTATTTATTGCAAATATTTTATGTGATTATGTTGGTGTGTGTGTACTTCAAAACATAATCTTGCAATGCTAATTTCTTTACATTATTTGAAGAGTTTTTCTTTATTGTCCTCCCTTTGCCTTTTGGCTGTTCTTTGCCCGTTGTTAGTACAACGGTACACTACAAGTCATCTCGGCATTATGACTTTATGGTTGAGTGATTTTTATTTTATTTTTGTGGTTAATGTTGTGTATTTTTTTTGTTTCATTTTATTTACATACATTCATAGGTGCGTCTTCGTTCGTTTTGGGTAAGGGCGAGTGTGTGTGCGTGTTTAAATTTGTTTGCGCCAATTATATTGTTGTTTTTCCTCCTCCTAACATGTTATTTTTATCAAATTAACGACGTGTTTTCGTTGTTGTTGTAATAAAATTATAGCATACTTCTTGATTTTTTAAGAAAAAATAAATTGTGGATTTTTTTTGTCATCGTTATGTTTGTGTTATTGTTGCTGTTTTTTTTTTGTTGTTTTCTTATTTCAATGTGTGTATTGCCTTCGTTTGTGGTGTTGTTGTCTTTATTTGTACGCCTGCGCCAGCAGAATTAGGGACATAACGAGACCAGTGTTGCATTTTACGAAAACATCCATCGTATGAACACAGCGAAAGTAACAACAGGAACAACAACATCAACTGTGACAGTGGCATCTGCAACAACAAACAATGCAAAAAGATGGCCGCATTTTTTCTCCGTGTCATATTTGTGTTCTTATTTTTTGAGTGGTGCATTAACCTCTGATGCGTGTGTGTGTTTTTTGTTTGTTTTCAAAATGGAAATATATCTGTTTTCTTTTTGGAAGAAATAAATTCCAATTGGATTCTCTTTTGTTATTGTTGGTTATTTTTAGCTAGCCGTTGTATTGTTTCCAATATAAATGCGTTTGAGCAGTGCCATTTTAAAGGAGGGGAAGAAAATAAGTGAAACACGCTTATGACCAGATACTGGTCATTGTGTGACGGGAAACTTCCAATGACATAGGCCTGAGTAATGTTGAATGTGACAATAAGAGCTTTCACTGGCACTATAGCTAACCCACATGAGGTAACACTGTTAATAGGGATATGGAACACTTTTAGTGTAGTAAAAACTCAGAATTTGAAACTTTGAATTTTTTCCAGAGGTAGGTTTTTGTACCCTGATTTTGGAAAACTATTTTTTTGAGGTACGGAGCTGGGCACCCTGTTTTGAGCCGAAAGTCCGTGTTCATACCTTGGTTAGACACGGATCTACTATACCGATATAGATAAGATTTGAAAGCTTATGAAAATACCTAAACAAAAGGTGGGCTTACTTAAAAGGGTTTTATCCCTCTAAAAGAGTTAGGCTCCTCTAAATGTTAAAAAATTACAAATAATAAAATATTTCTATGTTAAATTATAGCTGACAGTCTGGCTTTTCAAATACGGATCCAGAAGAATTAAATTCGGGAACCAGAGAGGTTTAAGAGGTTTTCTCCTCTAGGTATGTCCAATACCGGCTACCGCATATATTTGGTCCTACTTTTTGCGATTTCCACTTTTGGTGGTTTAATCAAAAGTACCGGTCCAAAAATCGATAATTTTGATAAGACCACCATAAGCATAAACATCATCTGGGAAATTAAAAAAATCTGGATTTTTTACTAGAGTTAAGCCGAAGTTTATTTTATAATAAATGGGAAGGGGTGAGCCTTTAAAAACAAAACACAATATCGGGCAAATTGTAGCCACGAACATGTATTTTGCATAACAAGTTCCCAAAGCAGCAGCTTAGTGTAACCGCCGAGAGAAATATGCCACACTAGTCAAGAGGATTTTTCAATGGAATTCCAGATTATTTTCATGCTTTTAAAAGAATCCATCAGTAAAGAAGCGACACATGCCTTGATTTCTTCTGTCAACAGAACTTTACAAACCATAAGTTCCAATAATTATACGAGATCCGACAAGGTGTATCATGGTCCAAGGTGCTTCACGGTGACTAACTATGAAGCTTAATTTTTAAAAAGTCAGTGTTTAGAAGAAATTTGTTTTGTAGTCTGTAACCAGTGATTGGTGGTAGGTTTGGCGGGACAATTAAAGAGGTGCAGCGTTTTGGGTGGAACTGTATTACACGCCGCTTAGACGTTTCACGCATCTTCGTCAATTCGTGTTCAATACGAATTGAGACGACTGAACGTAATTGCGCCAAAACTACTCTGGTCTTCATACGTTCTTCAACTGCAATGGAATTTAGCGGGGACGGTATTCATACTATAATTACTGATCGTATATGTGACTGTATCAGTATGAATGCCACTCAGACCCGCTTTCTACTCGTCTTGATCTAGAGGCACTCTTTTATGGCATATGTCCTTAATATATGTCTGCCTGGGTGAAGGAGTTCTATTCACCATATGATGGTTTGGATGACCCCCACGATAGCACCCAAGCAGGAACTGCAACGAAAGTACATAGTTATCTTGACGTATGGGAAGGACCTTCGCCTGCTCATATAGACGATTTTCACCGCAGCATTCTGGCAGGCCTAAATTTTATCGTAAATCTACATGCTGATGTCATCAATTTGCTGAAGATAGTTTTTTTTTTTGGAGAAGCAATATGGTCCTGAGGCAAAAGATTAATACATTACCAATATTAGAGTTAATGATTTTTCTACTCAGCATTTTATTAATCCAAGGCTTACAAGATAACTAACAGACATTAAAATGTTTCATTGGAAACGGGTAAATTTACAATTTTTTCTATTATTTATTGGAACCCCTTGTTTATACATATAAAGATTAAAACAGACGTTGATACTATCAACTTAAAACACCCAATCCAATACTCAACTTATATATTACTAGTTTATTTGTCTAATTTGACATGTTTCCGATTGCGCTGTATCCCAAGAGACAAGTGAAAAAATTCCCCATGACAAATTTCTATCATTAAAAATCCAAAGAATTTTGCGTTCTTCTACCAGAAATTTACTTTTTCTCTTAACCCAGATTGTTGCTGTTGTTTTTTTTTTTCATTTAGGAGATTAATCGTTGGTCTTGTCTAAATTTTCACACACCCCCACACACCAAATTTAAGCTGTCATATGGAAATCATAAACATATATTTTGTGGCTACAGATGTATGTACAATGGCGGCACATTGTTGTCACCACTATGGCTAATTTAAATTTATAGTAGCATTTCCAATTTGGGCTAATACAAATCACTTTAGTAGCGCTTCTTAGATGGTTTATTTTTATTAGAGATTTAATGACATGTTTTGCAGCGTGTTGTTTTTTATGTTGTTTGTTGCCATTTAAAGTTTCGAGTTAACAAACTTGCAAAACACTTTGTTGAGATTTGATAGTCGCCAATGAAAAAATACACTATGTACAAAAAGTATGTGTATGAAGAAATTTTTAAACATTAAAAAAAATATTTAATACAATGGTGATTTGTAAAACTGATATGTATATGTAGATTAGGTTAGAGGATGCGCGGTTGCATAGCAACCACTCCACTCGGAGACCTGCTGCTCAATTGTGACTGAAAAAATAAGAAAAAAAGAGAGAAAGTAAAAGAAAACGCTTATGTTAAAAAAGGGGTATATCCATGAAGAATTTACCGTGTTGTCTTTAGCTATTTGAGTCTTCCAGCTAGCTGAAGAATAATTGACGGCTCAGTATTGGAGAGTGAAGACAGATCATGCAGAGTTTGCTTACATTGACACAGTAAGTGTTCCGCAGTTTCTATTTCTTCCTCGTCTTGACAAAGCCTAGAATAGCCCGTATCGTCACCCCCCACTTGGACGTCATGGCCCTAATATTACAGTGACCTGTGATTAAGCCTACTACAAGTTTTAGGTCCAATTTAGCCATGGAAATGAGTGAAAAAGATCTCCTTTCGGAGATTATTGGCCATATTTTTGGGGGCAATACGGCCTATTGCATTCTGCCAAGTATGCTGAAATCTTCCATTAGTGTTTGTGTATAATCTGGAAGAAGTGACACGAGGTTTTTTTTACCGAGCTCTCAATCTCTAGAACAGTTGACTCGGAGTCGCTTCTTGCCAATTCATCTGCAGCTTCAGGACCACCATAGATTTGATGGTGGATGAATTTAGCAGTTTCAGGGCCGCTTGAATATCGACATATATAGTCATCAGCAATCTGTTCGATCCATTAGCAATTCTACGGCTTTCTGACAGCAAAGATTTCTGCCTGGAATACGCTACAATCTTTATTGAGCTTGAATGAATTCCGGATATTCAGGCCTTCGCAGAAAACACCTGCACCCGTTCCACTTTCCATTTAGGTATGTGGATGCCAGTCTTTCGAAGTCTAGCTTAGTTCTCCACATAATTCAATATGACCGAATATCCGTAAGATTGACTACGCCATTGACCACGTTGTATCAGTGGACATCTCGCAGCTTGTTCCTCTAGAAATAAACTTAAGGGTGTTAAGTTAAGTAGGGTGCCCAATGCAGATTGAGGTGTGCTTCTAAGTTCACCTGTAATTAAAAGTGATGTCGCTCTTTGTACTTTGCCAATGTTTTTACTGAGGGAAGCCGTCTCCAAGAGATTGCCACCAAACTAAACTACCATAAGTCAGAATAGGACGGACGATTGACTCATATAACCATTTGATGATATACGGTTTCAGTCTCCAGCTCTTCCCTATGGAGTTTTTGCAGGAGTAGAGTGCTATCAAGCATCGTTTAGCGCGTTCCTCGATGTTCCTCCTCCAGTTCAGACGCTGGTCGAAGATGGTGCCGAGATACTTGGCTTCAGACGAACGACTTAATGTGACGCCATCCAGCGATGGTGGTAAAAATTCCGGGAGTTTCCGCTTCCTCGTAAAGAGAACAAGCTCTATTTTAAATGGGTTGACACCAAGCCCATTGCAACGCTCACATCTCCATGGTCTTACAAGAGCTCCCTGCATTAGGTCTGAAATAGTTTGCAAGAATTTCCCAGAATTTCCCTTGAGGAGTGTCCCTGGACACTGATTTCCTGACGGAGCACTCCCTTACGCTTGAGTTGATGGTGATAATAATATCTGCAAGAAGGGTATATTAAATATGTCATTACGTTTGTAACATCTCTAAATATTCATAGAAGACTCCAGGATGGTAGGTGCTGAAAATGATATAAATTGTATTGGTCTACGTTTTTCGTATAGTTCCTTATAACGGTATCTCCCGATATTCGGTATTTTCATTTCATTTATTTAATACAATTCAATATAAATATGCCAACATGATGTTGTTTTTTAGCTACATTTCCACGGAATTTTTCCAAATTTGGTATTTATAGTTTGTAATAGGTATACCTCCTGTGAGTCTATATAGGTCGACGTTTTTCTATAGTACGCATATAACGGTACCACCCGATATTCGACATTTTGATCATTCTAGCCACATTTCCCTTTAAATTGTTCCATATTTTGTTCCATACATTGACTGTATATGCTCACGTTTTCTTATAGCCCCCATATAGCGGTAACTCCTGATATTCGGTATTTTGGAGATTTAGGCGACATTATGTATTGGATTCTATATAACGGTACCGCCCGATATTCAATATTTCGAAATTTTTTACTGAATTCTCCACCTATCTTACTGTTAATTATTTCGTGGATGTAGATTGAAGATTTTATTTTTAAAAATCAAAATTGGAGTCATTACAGCTTGTGTATAGCCTTTTTTGAAAACCAGAATTGCCAGTAATTTTTGTTTTTAAGGTTTTAGAGCACTAAATTACTCAGAGTATATTTTTTAAAATGGTTTAAAGTTTTGGTCAGGAGATACCTTTAGTAAATCTATAGATGATAATCCCTTAATTAACAGAAGAATATTAGAGTTTCTATCCTTTTCCGCCTACCAATAGCCACCCTCTCCTCTTTGTTAACATGCAAAATATGCCCAGCGTGTTTTTACCTCTTCTTAATGGAGAAGTGCTCTAAAAAGCAGCTCATGTTGTCAGCAAGGATGCGGCTCTTTAAACGGTGGGTTAATTTGAACATAAGCTATCTGGACTTAATCGTATGCTACCAGACGAGGAACCTATTGATTGGAATTGGAGAGACTTTTGTAATGTTCACCCAAGGTGCAACTTGTGATCTGAGCCTCCAGTTTTTCCCATTTCGATATTACTTGAATTGAGTGCAATGAGACCTTTTTTTTGTGCGCTCCTTGATGTTCCTTCTCCCAAGTAATTACTGGCTCAGGATCCTTCCGAGATATTTGGAACTCAAGGAAAGAACCAGTTTCACTCCATCCAGGTTAAAGGATGCGTGGCTGTTTAAACAACCACCCCCCTTGGTGGAGTATAATAAAGGGGGAAATAAGGATATATAGAAGAAGGGAAGAATTAGAAGATAGAAACTAAGGAATTTGTGAGACTGTATCCACGTTGCGATCAGCGTGTAATTAAAAAGTAACTGCTGGCTCGGTTTCAGAGAAAGAGCAGAAGTCGGTCAGAATTTGCTTACCCAGCCTCTGTGTGGCTCAGTGGCAGAGTAAGTGCTCCACCGTCTCTGTTTCCTCCTCGTCCTGACAAAGCCTGTAGGATTTGGTGTCGTCGCCCCCTCCCCACTTTGAAGTCATGGGTCCTATGTTGCAGTGATCTGTAATTAGACCCATCATAAGCTTTAGGCCAGATTTCGTCAATGAGATGAGTGACGTAGATCTCCATTCGGGGATCACCGGCCATATTTACTTGGAAATATTACATCCCCTTCCAATCAGCCAGTTCTGATTGAATCTCCCAACATAGTGCTTGTGTAATACTTGGAAGAAGTGAGATATGGTGGCTTTCCTGAGCTATCGATCTCTAGTTCTACTAACTCAGATCCGCTTCTGGCCAATTCATCTGCCAGATATGTTACAATAACCAGGGTCCCAAAAAAGTTTGACAGGCGACTGAAAGAGCATTTCTGCATTCCATAATAGCCACAGATTTGATTGTAACAGAATTAAGAGTCTTCAAGGCTGCCTGACTACGACATATATAGTCACCCGTCCATTCAATTTATTGATTCTGTTTTCTATCAGCTCTATGGCTTTCCTGATAGCACAGATTTATGTCTAAAAACGCTGCAGTCGTTGTTTAATAAAAAGGATCTCCGGATATTCAAGCATTCACAGAAGACCCCAGCTCCCGTGAATAGTTCATCGTCATATCTAAATTTATTCAAAGTTGGTCGAAATTTACTAGTATTTTATTGATCGCCAGAACAAGGCGCACCTCTGATGAGTTTTTTAGCATTCGGTCAATCTGTTTAATCTGAATAGATTAAGAGCAGATGTATTGTGGATCGCTATCATATTAACATTATTGAAAGCCCCCTCTATATCGAGGAAAGCTGTCAATATAAAGCTGAAGTTTTCCATATTGTTCTCCATGAATCCGACAAATTCGTGTAAGACGGTCTCTACTGACCAACCTTTGCCATAAGGGTCCGTAGTCTGATTTCTAAATTTTTACAAGAAATTTAGGAATCTTATGTCAAGTAACACCCAATATGGAACTGTGCCAACCAACACCCTTCAGAACGAATAGAATCAGGCGGGAACGTTGAAAAATTACAGAAAGTTCCATAAATATGTTATATTCAGCTTGGCTTTGCTTCTTTTTTTCGTACATTTTTGTTTATTATAATTTATGGGCTGTAGTATGTCATTTTGGCATTCGGTGTTTTGTTTATGGCATGCGCTGGTGCTGTTTCTGTTGTTTACCACTGCAGCTGCTGTCGCAGCAGCATTTTTATGGTACCCAAATAAGCAAATACTTTTGTTGTTGTTGACATTGAACCAAATTCTCTTCTCCATATTTTGTTGCATGACTTGCATTTGCTGTGACTGGTTTTGGCTTTATTTTGTGTGTACATTTATCTCCGATTCTGGTGTTGGGTTACAACCTGACAATGCATCATGGATGCAGCAGCCTGCAGTCAACCTCATTGTTTTGCCTGCACCAAAACGAGGAGATACCACCATTGTCTTGGCCATAGAATCACAAATACAACCTGAGAAGATTTGTAACATAGTTTCTACACTTCTTTACAGCAGCAGCAACACCAGTAGCTGGTTGTTTATATTGTTCATGACTTTTTGTTTTAAAGATTTGCAGTCAAGTGGGTTACAAATGCCACCATTTAGAGCTAACTTCACCATTAGTATTGTGTTGTATTCGTTTATTATTACTGCCTTATTTGGAGTTCAACTTGATCGTTAAACAAAACAAATGGCAACAACACAACAATCCATATTTAGTAGATTTTCCCACACTACCCAAAGCTGCCTACCTACCTACTTGTCAGCAGCAGTCTGTCAGTCAGTCATTTGGTCAACTCTCACATTCACACTTAAGTAGATAACACGCTCTACATTTTGGATTCTGTCGGCCACATTAACTTCAGTACCGCCTCTTTGTTTTCATTTGTTTGTAAACTTGAGATCAACCTACCGACGGCGGCGGGCTATGAATGAATTCCATTATAAAAGCTATTCTCGTTGTTAGGTGGGTAAACTCCAAGCAAAATATTACGTAAAATCGTAACGTAATCAAAAAAAAAAAGAAAGAAGAATGTGAGAAATAAATACCCAAGACATTGTTCATTTCGTTGCTTATAGAATGGAATAAATATTGTTGTTCTTGCTTCCTTTTTTGTAAGCTTTAAATATGAATGAGCTGAGCTTTAGACTCTGCCTCAAGTTCTATGGCATGGCGGTAGAGTTTATTAGCACCTTATCTTTGTGTTTTGTTTTCTATGGAATGTTTGAATTTTTTTTTCAAAATAGTAATCTGAAAATTCAAAAGGTTTTGATGATATCTTCGGGGTAGGCTCGGCCAGTTTGACATGGATTTTCCACATGTAGTTTCCTTTTGCCAGTCCTCTCGAAGAGGAATTTTCGGAATTCTCCAATTTCGGTCAGCCCAGATATTACTCTACCGCGTATATCATTAACGGGTGGCTTTTAGTCTCAGATAGCTTTTGGGTATAGTTTCATTTGCAATAAGCATATTGCAGCATGTCAAAGTTCGGTCTGTGGAGAGTGTCTTACAAAATTGTCGGATACATTAAGAATAATATTGAAAACTCCAGCTTAACATTGGCAGCTGTTCTCCATACAGTGGGGGCTTTAAACAATGTGAAGACCGGGCGATCCATAACGCTGTCTATGCCCTTTGTATATCCTCTATTCTGGTTGAATTGATAGAATGCCACAATGCAGGATAGTTATTTCGAGCTTAGGAGAGAGTTACATTAGGAAAACAGCAGAGGTACACCGCTGGGAGGACTTCTCATGTTATCAAACAAGGGACATAGAATATTTAGTAGGTGGTAAATAGAAACTCTGAAGATCTTCAGGACATAGATCCCATGAACATCTACAAGTTTACTAAAAGCATTCCCTGGCTAGACAGACTATACTTCTCTCCACAAGCCCTTTCTTTTCTTTCTCGGTTCTGTCTCTTTCCTATCACAAACAACATAATTCTTCCAAAGGTCTCCGGGCAAGGCAGACGCCATGTACCTGCGAATCCAGGAGATGATGAAGCCGTGAGGCTTAATAAATCTCTATGATCAGGTCTCGGTCCCTTTTAATATTGAGATTTTGGAGGTTTCTTTGGTTATACTTTCGACTTGGGTCTGCTGGGGCATCAGAAGAAAACCTGGTCTCAATCTTCTTGCTGATGGTCGGAGTGGAAGTCGCAGATGCGGCAAATAGACCTGATCTAGCTATGAGCTTCGAGTGTGACTCTTTATAGATTCCGTTTTCTTTGCCTCTTAGATTTGGTTGGATCGATACTCTCAGGGTAGTAGGATAGCTGTAAGGGGCCCTTCTAACCAAATCAACTACGTCGATAGAATTTTGCCGCTAGTCGATAGAACTTTGCCGGTTTAACACGATGCTTGTCCCCACTTGATCTTTTCCAGCGCGACTTGCCTCGTTGTGATGGAGAGGGATAACGTTATGCTCAATTCTTGATCGGAGAGAGGAATCGTTGCAAAAAACAGAAGGAAAATTAGAGATGACCCCCCAGAATTGCAATTATGTATTTACGAATTACCTTTTCCTTTTTGGGTGTAGCTTTCGTAGACTGTACTTTCCGACCCATTGAGTTATAAGAAATTAGAAAAGTCTGCTTATTTCGGACGAATTTAACATTTTGACCACACTAGGACCTTGATGAAGTTATTGTTAAGAATTGCTTGTTCCTCCAAGTGTACATCCGGGAACCAATTTTGATTCAAACACTTTTTACCTCTTGACAAAGATCGATTTTCTGTAATGTGAAATCTCCAATACCCTGGACTATGTTTATTGCCTTTCAAGACTCTCTGTGTACTGAGAATATAACGTCATAAATCATATAAGCATTGATCTACGGTTTCCACCTAACGTCCATTAGATTAAGCAATATTTGCTAAAAATTAATCACATTTTGAAAATTCAAAACCGTCGGAACATTGATTTTCACATTATGTGTTAATAATTCGCCAAATTTATAAGTGTTCTTTAATATACATGTGTTTTTGTATATATTTATAAAATATTTCTAATTATTTAATTTTCTTTTGTAATTGCAGGTAAGCAGAATTTATAATTTCCCAGAATACATTTGGGGTAAATATGTATACATTTACATATATGTGTATATGCACATACGCGAACCGTCTAGAGTTTGTAAAACATGCCGCTGACTCATCTTTCTTCTTCTACAAATGAATGCATAAATGAATGTAAATTGAACAAAGAGAAAACGACAACGAAAACAAAAATAACAAACAAGTGGACAAAAAATTAACATGGAAATGTTTGTTTTAAGCATTGCGGCGGAGGCTTTAGTTCTCTGGCTGGCGACATCAGCATACATAGGTGACAATATAATGACATGGACCAACACCGAAAACGAGTGCTAAATGGCATCATAAAAAAACAAAACAAATCTGTTTAAATATCAACCAAAGGCAAATCCGTGTCATAACTATTTAAACATGACTTTATGTTTTGCCGTTGGCGGCTTTAAGATTTAAGCTCACATAGCATTTCGACAGAATAACGGACGCAACCAGTCATTGCAATTAATCATTTGGGATTATATATAATTTTATGAGTTTCTGTTTTTTAATGTGCAGTTTTGTGTTTATAATTTTTGGAAAATATTTAAATTTTTGTAAGTTAGTTAAAATAATGGATGCTGTGGCGTGGTTGACTGTATCAAATGCCATTGATGGGTCAAGGGCTACCATTGACCTATCAAAGGCATCCTTGCCTGGCTTCTGTAGCGGCACCATCCGCCCATTTTCCAAGCTAGGGGAACGATGTGGGTGGTTAGCTATAGGTTGAGAACTTTTCACAGATACTCAATTCCCGCCGTTACCATTGAGTTTCCGTCTGTGCCTGTCTATTCACACTTGAAACATCACCCGTCGTAAACGGTGGTGGTGCCTCCTCGGCTGGAAGAGATCTGA